TTTGATGACAAAAATCTTTTGTGTATATTTAGATCTTTATAAAAAGATACTATACTATATATAAAGATTTTGATTGTAATAAGCTAATAAATTGTTAAAATAATTTAGACTTGTTAAAAATTTTAATTCATAAAATCAAAAAAAGTTAAATTCAATCAAATTATATGGTTCAATATAATCAAGATAAGGTAAAAAAAATTAATCAACAGTTGTAGAATAATTCAAAAACTCTTCTAGAATAAATGATAGAGGTAGTGATAAAGATAGTGGTTGAGAAATTTCTGATGTAATAAATTGAGAAAGATATGAAGGGTTTGAATTCGACAAAGCAGGTTTGGCTATTTGAGTAATATTTTCATCAGGTAAATTACTTTTTTTATTATGAAGGGCATTAAATCTGTATAGATACTGCCTTTGCATTTTTTTTTGGCTAATATTCATAGTTGGAATAAACTGTTTGATATTCAACCTTCATTTGATTTACAAGTTTTTCAAATTGAAGCTTTATATCTTCAAATTCATTTTGCCACATTTTAGAGACAACCTTGGATATATTAGCATTTGTCAAGTTTTTATGTTTTTTCTTAATTTTGAATTGTTGGTATTTTCTATATAGTATAAAAGAATTTGGAGTACATGGTGAAGGACATAGTACTTTGTTTTTCTTTTGCCTTCTTTGTTTTTTGCTTTTTTCTTGACTTTTTGAAATGAGTGACAATTTAGAAATTGCATAATTAATAATACTAAAATCTTTTTCTGAAAATATAAATATAGAACAAAATTCTTCCATTATTATCGCAAGATATAATGATTGAATTCAAAAAGGGCAAATAATAAATTTGACACCATTTTATAAGACCATTAAATATGAAAATATATTGAAAAAATTTTCGTGTTTAGACAATATCTTTGACTATTTGTCTAATATTTTTCTTGTTGAAAACTGAAAACCTAATAGAATTATGAATTTGGCTAGACCGTTTATTAATCTTTTTAAGACAAATAGAAAATTCACAAATATGGAATTATTGTTTTAAGTTGATTTTGTCATTATAGCAATCGTAAGGTGTTTTTTTTTATAAAAAATACTTATTTTTTTATATTTTATTTTATTTTAATTTAGAATTCTAAACATTCATGCTTTTAGACTAATATTTGGCCAAACATACTATATTGTATTCTACATATAGCTAAGTGCTGAGAAAAGAAACAAAATTGACAAAAAAAAAGATCTTTGAAAAATCAATGTTTATGTTATAAATCTTATAATAAATTATAAGAAAATGCAAAATTTAAAGTGCTATCCTGCAAAATTTTATTAATACAACTACTTTTGTGTTTTAAGCAAAAAATGTTTCTAATCTTATTCTAAATTGATTTATGTAAAAAAATACCTTTTAAAAAAATTGTCAATTTTGTCTCTTTTTTCAGCACTTAGCCTATATATAGACAAATTTTTCTGAAAATTTGACTTTTCTAAATCAGAAAATTTATAAACAAAAAAAATTATAATTCTGTAATGATTTTCTTTCAAAAATTAAGCTTAATTTACAGTATTAATCAATCATTAACATCTAACTAACAAGTTAATTTGCATTAATTTAGTATTGATTATAAATCTGGTTAATTTTTTTCAGAATTTTGTCTGTCAGGATTCT